TGAACTCCCTAGGTCCCAGGAAAAACTACGTCTTACACGCCCGCAATCTGAAACTCTACACAGAACTCGGAATGAAACTTACGAAGGTCCATAGAGCCGTCTCATTCAAACAGTCCCCTTGGCTTAAGAACTATATCGACTTCAATACGAAGAAACGATCAGTTGCACGTAATACTTTTGAAAAGAACTTCTTCAAATTAATGAACAACTCAATCTATGGAAAGACCATGGAGAATCTAAGGAAGAGAGTTGACGTGAAATTAGTGTCATCAGAAAATGACCTCCTAAAACTTACAGCGTCGCCGTGCTTCCAGTCGCATAGAATTATGAATGAGAACTTAATAGTTGTAAAGCGAACGAAGGAAGTTCTAACTCTAAACAAACCGTGCTACGTTGGAATGAGCATCTTAGACTTATCAAAGACTCTTATGTACGACTTCCATTACAATACAATTAAGAAGGAGTACGGTGACAGGTCAAAGCTACTGTTCACAGATACTGACAGTCTGATGTACGAAATAAAGACTGATGATGTGTATGAGGACTTCAGGAGGATCGGTGAGGAGAAAGACTGCTGGGACAACTCAGACTATCCAAAAGATTCCCCATACTACTCAGCTCATAATAAGAAGGTGATTGGTAAGTTTAAGGATGAAGCTGCGGGAGTACCAGTGATTGAATTCGTCGGGTTAAGGTCGAAGATGTACTCCTACGTAAAGGAAAGTGGTGGAGGTGGAATGACCGCGAAAGGAGTGAAAAAGTATGTGATTAGAAATAAACTCACTCATGAAAATTTTAAGAACGTAATCAAGACGAGAGGTTTGATGAGACATAAGATGAACACAATGAGAAGCATCAAACATAAAATCGGAACTTACGAACTGAAGAAAATCACACTCAGCTGTTTCGATGATAAACGGTACTTACTTGAAGATGGTGTTACAAGTTACGCGTACGGACACCACTCAATAGAAAAATAAATTGTTAAATAATTCTGATAAATAATAGATAAAAAAATGAGGTAAAAAGACCACGGAAAAAATGGCCTAGAAAAAATGGTCTAGAAAAATGAGCCCGCGTTCTTTGGGGAAAATTCGGGAAACCGCTGACCGGAAGTGGGGTGGGATCGCGGGCTGAAAAAGTGGTCTAGAACCCTCAGTTCCTATACTACTGCGAGTGCATAAAGCAAAATTTATGCATTTATTTAATGACACTTAATAAGTTTTTATTTTACAAGTACTGTACAGTAAAACAACAGTAATTTGATCTATTAGCAATTCGATTTCAATTCGCGGGGGCCTGAAATCTTTTATGCTTAAGAATTATAAAGTGGATTTCTTAGGAAATTCCAAGGTTGCGTTTCACTTCCGAGTAACGGGCGGAGGTATGCAGTCTCTGAGTGCCCTCTAGTTATCTATGTACTTACTTTGGTTTGCTAACGCATCAAACTTTAACTTTTAATAGCGTGGATATATGTGCAGCTTCTTCTTTCAAGCCAAGATAGAGTAAAGGTAGACGGTCTTCTTAACGTGGATAGAACTTGGCCAATACAGGGCCCAAAACAACTATTGCTTACTCACAAGCGTCCGCGTTAAAGACTTATTGCAGAATGAAGTTTACAAGTTGGGTAGATTGTTTTTGCACAAAAACAACCGGAATTTAATGCGTAATCTACGAACCTATGTTTTTCGCAACGGACATAGCGTGGCTAGGCTAGGCAACCGCATTACGCATTTGCTGACCATACTTACGCATTTTGATGGGAACTTTTGCTTATAGCGGAAAATAACAACTTGTTTGTTTCCCATCGAACCTTTTCTAAAACATTAATTTGACCTTCCGTTTCGAAACCAACAAACACAAATCAATATCATCTTCGGCGGCCATCTTTAAATAGCAATTTTTAAAAGCTTCTTTACAAGATTATTTTACAAGACATTCTGTTTACAAAATGGCAAGATCATGAAGAAAGAAACGTAGATTTCAAGGGAATCAACATGCCGTGCAGAAGAGGGGAAATCTAAGCCAGAATTCCATTCAAAAATTGAATCAAAATCGAAGTACACCATCCGGTCGTGTTCAAGATGAAAGCTCTTATAAATAAGGCATCGCAGTCGGCCTCGGCCAGGAAAATTGGTGAAATTAGTGACATTTTAGTGCTTACAGTGAACGAAAATAAAGTAAGTGGCTATCGTTTTACTGATATTTCGATCCTGTGCTCCATTATACCAAATGTTGCCATGCAACTGACATTGATGGATGACAGTTTAAAACGAATGGGTTGTGCTTAATGTCTCTTTCTCACATATAAGTCGTGTGAATGGACTGAAACATTTTATACTTCAGAGAGGGATGGCTATTTTGTACATAAATCGAAGAATGGTATATGCAATGAGGTTAATTGATCGTGGACAATCTTCAATGGCTCGGTTTTGTTCTACCAAGAACATGCCGCCACCGGTTGGCTCAAAGTCATTTACAGTAAGTAGCGCAGTAGCGCACAAAAGCGATACTGCGTGCTGCAATAAAGGATGCAGAACAGAAATCTACAACTCCAAGACTGAGGACGGTGAAGACATTTTGGAAACTGCTGTTTCATGCGATGGAACATGGCGAAGAAGGGGATTTACCTCATTGCACGGATGCGTAACCGTCATTTCCATGGAAAATGGACAAATGTTGGATGTAGAACCTTTGAGCAAGGTCTCCAAAGCATGCAAGAAGCAAGTATTGAAGTCTTCAAAGCCCTTGGTCATAAATTTAGGAGCTTGTTGTGTTGCTGGAGTAAGGGAAGCCGATCGACTTTGTGTTACGAAATCTAACCACAAGGCGGAGGAGAAGAGTAAAGTGCAGAGAAAGGTCATCACGGGCAGAAATAAGAGGAAAGGTGACAAGAATGAAGTAGAAGAGGGAAAAACATATGCAGCAGGTTCATTTTAAGTACACTTTGATGTAATTTAGCCATTTAAATGTCATTTGTTTGTCTTCAAAAGTTATCGTGCAACTTTGAACTCGATTTTCTCAAAATGACATTTTACCGAAGTCTCTCTCATTCAATATTAGTCCAAATTTGATAAAATTTTCAGAATATAATGATTGTAAATAGATCTCAAACCCAAAACGCAAAAATCTTATTTATCATTATAATATATCAATAAAAAAATATTTTTGTCTACAATGAATACCCAATTTTTGCCGATTTTGAAAAAAAATAAAAATTTTTTAATGAAATCTTATCAAATGTGTTATTTTTGGAGATTTGCATGTTTTATACATCTATTGACTTGCCTTCAAACTTAACTATACAGTATAGTTTGATGACCATTATTACTCTTGCTATCATGTCCCGAAAAAGGGGTACTTTTTCACTATATAGAAGGGTGTGGCTCGGTAACCATGGAAACAGCACATATGAAGTTTGTATTTTTGGTGTCAGCACGTGATGTTCTATCATATGCAACCTAAACGAATTAGTTCATAATACTAAAAATAAAAAAAAATTAATCATATTGTCCCAGACCACCTTATTAAATAAGGTTCACCCTTGTGGCATAATTAAATGTTCTGCCCGCTTCTATAAACCGCTTTTTTGTAGATTGTACAACATCTACTTATTCTACCTATCAATATAGTTAGATACATGACAAAAACCATAGGGCTCATGATATATCTCACGGCATGGTTTACTTTCAAGACCCTGTGAGTATGTACATAGTCTAACTGCATCTATACTTAAATACTAAGGAATAAACTTACAATCCTCACACGGACTTAACCACAAGTGAAATACTAAGTAATAAACTAACAATCCTCACATAGACTTAACTACATGTGATGGACAGATTACGGAATACACAGTGAACAACAAGGACTAAGTTTACAATATCTCACTGCATGGTCTACTTTCCAGACCCTGTGAAGATATATTTAAGAAAACCTTTTACTTAAATGAGATACAGGAAAATTACACTACACAAAATCACAAGTCTTGTTACCAATTCCTAATTTACAACATCGCAGTATGGTCAAATCCGACCCAAATTACACCTATCAATTATAAGTACACCACAGGTTCAAGACGCATGTAGAGGTCCTATTACCTATCCAAAAATTAAAATATTGCGTGACGTTAGTCTACGACATTACCGACACTCGACAATGGGTTGGGGTAAAACGCGGAAACGGAACGGAACGGACCGCGGAACCGGAATGGCGGAACCGGAAAAACGGAAACGGAAAAGAGTGTAAAACGCGGAAAAGGGGACATAGCGTGGCTAGGCTAGGCAACCGCATTTGCTGACCATACTTACGCATTTTGATGGGAACTTTTGCTTATAGCGGAAAATAACAACTTGTTTGTTTCGCATCGGACCTTTTCGAAAACATTAATTTGACGTTCCGTTTCGAAACCAACATTCCGGCCCCTTAAAGGCGATACTGAAGCCTTTACCTAAATATTTATGGTTCGAAACATACGACGAAACTAAGCTAGCGCTAGAAAGAATATAGATTGTTCAAAATTAACGCCGTCCATTTGCTAAACTATATTAGTAGTAACAAAAATTAACTATGTATTGTCTACTTATCGTTCACTGGAATAGCTTCAGATTCCAAGAAGATTATCTTGTCCACTGGTCGAACGAACACTGATGAGCTTGTCTTCACCTTCACGGAACGTACAAGACCATCCCTTCGATTCGTGTGCACTTCCAGGATACGTCCAAGTGGTCAGGAACAACGTGCAGTTTTCTCGTCCAGGATCAAAACGATGTCAAAGACCTCCAAATTTCTTCGTGTCTTGATCCATTTCTGTCGTTCTTGTAGTGATGGTAGATATTCCCTGATCCATCGCTTCCAAAACACGTTTGCCAGATATTGTACTTGACGCCATCGCTTTGTATGACAACAATCTTCCTTCGAGAACATTCCGGGTGGTAACTTTGGTCCACTTCGAAGGAGTAGAAGGTGGTTAGGGGTTAAAGGTTCAAGATCGCGGGGGTCGTCGGACAATTTGGTCAATGGCCGTCCATTGACAATAGCTTCCACCTCACACATCAATGTGTTGAGGCCTTCGTCATCAAGTAACTGTTCCTTTGTAATAGCTCTCATTACCTTTCGAACTGTTCGCATGCACCTTTCCCACACCCCACCGTGGTGTGAGCCTGCGGGTGGATTGAATGTCCATTTGATGTTCTGTTGAACGAGAAAATCGTGAATCTGCGCTTGATTCCATTTGTTTATCTCTTGTCGAAGTTCCCGTTCACCCTTAACGAAATTACCGCCGTTGTCCGAGCGCATTACTTCGGCTTGGCCTCGTCTCGCGATGAATCTCCGTAAAGCGTTTATGAACGATTCAGTATCCAACGAATTCGCTACTTCTATATGAATAGCTCGAACGGTCAGATAGATAAAGATAACACCATATCGCTTTGCCCTTGTTCGTCCATGGCGTACTTCGAACGGACCAAAGCAGTCCACACCGGTAAATGAGAATGGGGGCTTTTCGGGGGTTGTACGATCTGGTGGTAGGCTTGCCATTTTTTGTTCAGCGCGGGAGATTGTCGTTTTCTGCAGCTAACACAACCATTCAATACCTTTCGTACCGTAGATCTTGCCTTGATTATCCAGAACCTCTTTCGTATTAAGGATAACGTGTATTCTAAGCCAGAGTGACCGGAGATATGGTGGTAAAACTTGGTGATCAGGTTAACTACGTGGTGGGTTTTAGGAAGAATAACTGGGTGACGAGCGTCACTGTTGATTTGTGCTCGTTGGAGACGACCGCCGACACGAATGAGGCCGTCAACCACAATAGGATCGAGTTTTGAAATGTTACTGGTATTGCTCACCGAGTTGTTACCGTTCTTATCTTGAAGACGACTGAGTTCGTTCTTATAGCAATTTTGTTGCACGAGCTTCAAAATTTCAATTTTGGCGTTGACTAGTTCTGTCAAACTGATTGGTAGGATTTCTGTTGATGGATGAAATTCTGACCGCTCTTGCCTTCGATCGAGATTGACAAAGCAAACTCAGGTTTCTCTTGTAGCGTAGTATCCATGCGAATACTCTCTTCAGGCGGCTCCATGACGAAAATCGTCCGATGAACTGTTCCACGAATTGGTTGTTGGGACTACTCGAGACATTAGTGGCGTAAACTAATGAACTCTTCTTTACCTCTGGATCATCGTCTGGAACATTTGCAGTCAACTCTTCAGGTCTCTTTGGCCACGCTTCGTTCGGTTTAGAAAGGAAATCTGGGCCTTCTATCCAACGCTGAAGAGAATCTGCTGGAGCGCCTCTTGATGCGTCGTCTGCTGGATTTGAATGAGTGTCTCCGTAATTCCATTGAGTAGGGGTTGAAGCATCATGTATTGTTGCAATTCGATTTGCAACAAATGTTTGGAATCGCTTGTTTGTGTTTTCGATATAACGCAAAACACAAGTGCTATCTGTCCAGAAGAAAGATTGATCGATAGGTATACTTAGTTCGTTTCTCGACATTTTATCGAGTTTTCGTTGACACGACAGCTGCTGATAGTTCCATTCGTGGTATCGTCACCGGTTTTATTGGTGCAAGTCTGGATTTCCCCATAACGAATGAGCACTTGACGTTTCCCGAAACGTCTTCTACTCTGATGTAAGAAACTGCCCCATAGCCTTGTTGTGAGGCATCTGAAAAATGGTGGAGTTGCGTTGATTTGATTTCCTTCATCGTTGCTGGTTTGAAACAGCGTTCAACAGCGAGGTTTTCAAGTTGAGGTAGATCATTCAGCCATGCTTGCCAGCGTTTGAGAAATTCATCAGGTATTTTGTCGTCCCAATCAAGCTTTAGACGACAAAGATCTTGTAGAATCAATTTCGCAGAGAGAATATAAGGGGCAACGAATCCGAGTGGGTCGTAGACGGAACTTACGATTGACAGTATTACTCCCTTGTTGCTGGTCGATCTTTAATTACGATCGCGAAACCAAACGTATCCGATGATACGTTCCATCGAACACCGAGTGCTCTCTCTATCGGGGTCTTGTCGAAATTCAAGTCCTTGACTTGGGCCGCTCCTTTCCGATTCCGGCAAGGACTCTATCACCTTTCGTGAATTCGATAGCCACTTTGTTAACTTAAAACCTCCCAGTGCTAACAGTTCACGTAGATCCTTTGCAAGTTTAATGGCTTCGTCTTCTTCGCGAACTGATTTCAGACAATCATCAACATAGAAATTGCGTTGGACTGTTTCAATGGTTTGGTCATCGAACTGTGATGCATTGTCTGCTGCCGTTTTCCTCAGAGCAAAGTTGGCGCAACTAGGGCTGGAAGCGCTCCCGAACAGATGAACGTTCATTTGATATTCTTCAGCTGGGGTTTCAAGATCGGCGATCTAGAGTTTGGTTAGCATGAACAAAATTCGCCGTTGGAATCTTGGTTTCTTTTCTGCCTAACGGACCATTCAGGACCCATCCGAGAGCCGTTCGACTTGCGAATGGACCGCCATTTTGACTTTGTCTTATTTTACAGGGTTGAAGTGCCCGTGGGACGTCAC